GCCCACTCGTTTCTTTACTCCTAAAGTCACTTCTCTTCAAGGGAGAAATATCCAATGGTGGAAGAGACGGTAATTGGTTTTCTTGCTCCTATTCCTGTTCATCCCTTGGTCTTTGACTCTAATGGGCCTTCTATTGTCCCTATGGAAGGTGGAGAGAAAATCAACAAGGATTTACAGGTGTATGGCAAACACAAATGAAGAAAATAACCATTATATGAACAATCACCACAACATCCTCCTTTTTGGATGAGAAAAAATTCTTGTGAAGGAAGTGTTCGTGGGTCTTGATCATAATTTTCAAGGTGCCAAGGCGAGGCTAGGCAACAGGGGGTTGCCTAGTCGCCTAGGCGATGAATTTTTTTTAAGTAAAACCATATATCCTAGGGTAGTTCCTAGGTTCCATAACCATCTTTCCTTAATAATTATTCATAATTTTCATAAGAAAAGTATAAGTTTCATGTTTAAGTCTAGAAAATCAACATTTATGAGAAGAAAAAGAACAAAGTAAAGAAAATTCAAAAAATATAGGGAACCCCTACTTTTGTTATAGGAAAGAAGAAAAGAAAAGGAAGAAGAAGAAGAAGAAAATGTGTTGATTAGACAAAATTTTAAGTTCTTCCTTTGCTTATAGGTTCAGGTTTTGAAAATTTTGAGGGTTCAATCAAGGATCAAAATTTCTATACGATATGCCCCATATCGGGTGTATTGTATTGTATCGTTGGGGTCCCGATACCTGTTTGTAGGTGTTTTGGGGGACCCATTTTTTTAAATAATATATATATATATATATATAATTTGAAAATGAAATTGAAAACCAAAGAAATAAAAAAAATAGGGGGAGTATCGTTATAAGTACCGATACACCTCTGCCAATACACAGAGGTGTATCAATACTTTGAGCCATGGTTTCAATACAACAGTTAGCAATGTTGCATTGATTAAACCCTAAGAAAATAAGAAAATAATAAAAAGAAATTAGTATATAAACACATAAAATGAAGATTCTAGTTTAATAATGTCTATTTTATAATTATAATGTCAAAAATTAAAAATATAAAAGTATTTTATAACCCAGTGCACAAAACAGCTAGGCGAATGGGCATGGCGAGCCTCCAAGGGCGCCTTGTCGCCTAGGTGTCGCCTTGACAACTATGGTCCTGATGGAGATACTCTTGATTGAGTAAGGTGGTTAGAGTCATGTTTAGTAGTTTGTTTTGTCAATTTTGTGCTAGATGAGGAGGAACTTACGAATTCGGTCCATGCAAAATTGCAACCAAGAAGTATTAAAGTTAGAAAGTTAAATACATGGTTTTTCCTCTTTATTTTGAGCTATGAGGAGGCAAAGGAAGATTTGGATTGTGAATGGAATTGATTGGTTGGAGCAATACCCAAGGTGGGTGTTAAAATTTTTGTATTAATCAACATTTTTGGTATTTTTCTTCATGTATGGTGCTTACAAATGTCCTGGGTGGTGGGAGATGCTTGTGGGAGCTTAAAAAATTGATCAGTTGACAAATTGATAGAATGTTTTGATAGTGGCATGAATTCTAATTGAAGTAGAAGAGGTTCACTTTGTTCCATTGTCCTTGGTGCTAAACTTAGCTAAGGAGATCTAAGATTAGTGGTGGAAGGTCGTTCAAAGGTGGGGGATGAAAGGTTGTGATTTGAAAAGGATGAATTCGAAGGGTCAACCGGTCAAGGAGGTGAAAGTTTGGAGGTTGAATACAAGGGATTTTTGAGAAACATTTTGATGCTGAGGTGGGCAAGTATTTCGAAAAGTATTTGGGGTTTGATTTTCATAGTAAGTTGAAGAGTTGTGAATTGGGCTAGAGGGTTTAGTTATTTGGGTTGGAGATACATCAAGTTTTTGATTTGGGCTTGGGCAACGTAATTGTGCAAGGAGTCTCTAATCATGTTGGTTGTAAAATCTCATTTGGCTCAACTGTTCTAGGTTAGATCGGGTTTGTTTCTGATCCATCATATTAGTTGAGGTTTGTAGGGGCGGCCAAAATTCTTCTTTTTTATTTTTTTGAATGAGAAAAAGGCGCTTGTGCAAGATGATGGCACTAGGTTGTCATTCATTGTTGGTGAGGTTGTAGTTCCACTGGTGCTAGGGCAAGAGAAATCTAGGGTCTTTAGAAGGTTGTAGAGGAGGAGTAAGGTTTTTGTAATGATTTTGAAGGGGCTTCTTTATGTAAATCTATGAGATTGGTGGCAGGGGATTTGGTAAGGTTAAGTGATGAGGGAGGAGTTGATGGTTGTCAATAAGTAGGAGTTGGTGTAGAAGAGGGGCAAGTAGAAGCTATATTTGGTTTGTCAATTTCGAAGGGTGTTTCTCAGGCCTATTTATTTGGTTTCTTGGAGGTTGTGGAGTTGGCTTGTGGTGGAGTACCATCAGCCTGAAGTTGAGGTTAGGGCTTCAAAAGTCATAGGATCAAGAGATATTTTTTTTTGAAGTTTCTATTGGCAGATTGGGCTTAGGCTTAGGTAGGAAGGTGGAGGGTGGCTAGGATGTGGACCTAAAAGGGGATAAAGTGAAATATAAAGTTTCAGGTTTTCAAAAAAAGATGAAGGGCCCAAAAAATTGACAATTAGTACATATATTGAAGATTTTTTCACAGCTAAAAGAAGGAATTTCTGGTGCTGGCCCTTCCAATAAATTTAAAAGGGTATATGAAAGTCAAAATAAGTGATATCAATCAATTTTGAGAATATGAGCCGAAAGGGGTTAGGGTTATCTTTGATGGTCAAGTGGATTGCACTTGTCAAGCTATCGAAGAAGAGTTGGTGAATAAAGACTTCGATGTAGGAGTGAGAACAAAAGAACAAAGTACAAACAAGTTAGAACAAGGGGTTCAGAAAATATAGACCTTTATGGGTAGAAGGAAGAGGTGAAGAGGTCTCAGAAGAATCTCTTTAAGAGAGGAAGGCGGTTATGGATGAAACTCATGTTATGCTGGGCGAGTTAAATTTGGAAAATGTGGTTAATAGGGAGGTGGAAGTGAGTAAAATCTTAGGGCAACTTTTTTTTTTGTTTTTGATAGATAAATCTTAGGGCAACTTTCCTTCATGGGGGGTGAGGAATCTGCAAGAAAGGTCTCTAGTGAATTAGTAGAAAATGGAGGTTGATTTTCGAAGAAAGGGACATTTGCAGGAGCTAGGTGGGGATGTTTCTTATTTGTGTTTTTTTCTTTTGTTGTGGAGTTTGAGGGATTTATCTTTATAGGGATGTTTTTGGGGGGTGATTTCTTATGACTCTTGTTATACTTCTTTTTTCTTCTTAATGAATTTTCTTTTTTTATTTATCTTGGGAAAAAACTCCTTTGGATTTAGGTATTTTTCTTTCCTTATCCATCTATTCCTAGTTTATCTTCTAATCCTGATGCTCCTAATCTTGCTACTATTTCCTATTATTAATGTTTACCCTCCCTCTGACCTTGATTTGCCCATTGTCCTCATAAAGGGAAAGAGGTCCTGTACTTGTCATCTTATTTCTAACCATGTGTCTTATCGCTCTATTTCTCCAACTTACTATACTTATATGCCTCTAGTGAGTCCATTTATTTGCCCACTAGTATGTTGGATGCACTTTCCAAACCTAAATGGAGATGAGGACATTGGAGCATTAGAAAATAATGGTACTTAGGAATTGGCGGACTTGCTTCCTAGGAGATGTCTGGCGGGATGCAAGGGAAGACTTATTGCTAAGGGGTTTACTTAGGCCTATGTAATAGGCTATCAATAGACTTTTGCTTCATTTGCCAAAATTAACTCTATAAGAGTGTCTCTATTGTTGCAAGTAAGTCTTAGCCTCTTAATTGGATGTAAAGAATGCCTTTTTTCATGGAGACTTACATGAAGAAGTCTACATGGATGTTCCTCCAAGAACAGAGTGAAATATGTGTTTGAGGTTGTCTTAATTTTTTTTTTTTTTGATTGGAAACGATAACTTCATTAATACAATTTAAGAATAACTTTTCAGAGTTAAGTACAGCTGTCAACCCCTAAACAGGTGTTGAGCCTCAGTAATCTTTCTTACAAAACTGCCCAGAACATTCTCTCCATCACAGTCCCTTGTTTAGCCAATGTGTCAGCTAGACCATTAGCTGATCTCCTTGTCCATTTGAACATGCACCAATCTCCCTTGTTTTGAGGATTTCCCTTATGGGCTGTCTATAAATCCAGGCTTCCAACTTTCCCTATTGCAGCCACTCAATCAACAATTTAGAGTCTCCCTCTATTTCAATTTGGTTTAACCCCAATTGTTTGGCATATCTTACACCTTGAAGCAAGGCCATCACCTCCGCTCTCAATGAGCCCCCACTCCTATTGGTCTTGAAAACATAGGAGTGGGGGCTCATAAGGAAATATCATATGTAATCGTAAGGAAAAAATCTATTCAACTTATGTTTGACCCACATTTAAATGTTATTAAGTGTTTGTCATTCTTTTGGAAAAAGGTGTTCAAAGTGATGGTAGGCGGGAAATTAAGCAAAAAGCAACATTAGGTGACAAGATGTTTTCTCAGGGGTGCTTTTAGGTTGAACTTCCTATGCATCCATCTCATTAACCTTCTTATGGAAGGAAAAGGCAATGCCGGTTGCCTTTTCACTTTATGATATAATTAATTAATTAGTATGCTTATTATTTGTTTGCTTGTGTTTTCTATGATTTTGACTTTTTGTTTGGATTCAATTTTAAATATACCTTTCTATTTTTTTATTTTTTGAATGGAATTGATTATATTACATATAAATTATTAAAATTTTATGATTACATATGATATTTCCTTATGAAATTAGTGAAATGTGCTTTTATGTGCAAAATTTGTTAATATTAACTTTCTTTTAGTAGTGTTCTATGCAAGATGATAAGAAATTGGAAACATGACACATGTCACCAAGGATTGCACCCAACCTATTATTAGATGTTATTTATTTACCCATTTATTTTATGAATTGTCACTCTTCCTCTTACTTCCCCTTAATGTTTATCCATAGGTTGCGAAAGAAAATGCCGATGTCATCATCATGGATGATAATTTTACAACTATAGTGAATTTAGCAAAATGGGGGCGTGCTGTTTATATAAACATTCAAAAATTTGTACAGTTTCAGTTGACAGTAAATATCGTTGCTCTTATGACCAATTTTATTTCTGCCTGCRTCTCAGGTGTGTAATCCATTGATCTTTTATTTATTTATTTCATAATTTGGAAACCATGTTAATTTTCACAAGTATATTTCAGGAGCTGCCCCTCTTACGGCTGTGCAGTTGTTGTGGGTGAACATGATTATGGACACACTTGGGGCCTTGGCACTGGCTACAGATCCTCCCAATGATGAGATGATGAAACGGCCTCCTGTTGGGAAGGGTGTTAATATCATCACTGGGCCCATGTGGAAGAATATTATTGGTCAGAGCATTTATCAACTGGCTATCCTTTCTATTCTTACATTTTGTGGGAAAGGTGTCTTGAGATTTCTCAGACTTGGTGGTTGGAATTCTAGTTCTGTTCTCAATACCTTGATCTTCAATACCTTTGTCTTATGCCAGGTAAAGTTTACTATTTTTAGCTCATATTTTGAAATATGAATGCTTTTCTTAGTTTCTATATTCTGCAATCTCTTTGTTATTGGATAAATGGATAGGATTATTTTATGTTTTTATTTTTTGTTGATGGCATGGAGAATTGTTCTGACACTGACTATATATCGAGAATTCATTAATTGTTACCTCAAATATATACATGCAAAGAGACAAGAAAAATACAAGGAAAACCAAACAAAAAAAAAAAAGAACCCCCAACCAAGCTCCCCCAAAGGAAATGCAAATCAATCGACTTCTATACTAGTAAGTTTAAGGTCTTAGGGATATAAGAAGGTGAACAAGGTATACAGAAATGTAGAAATGTAGAAGAACTAGGAATATGGCCCACAATCAGTACGTCCCACGCCTGACATAAAGTGTATATGGCCCACAATCACTCAATCTCTCACTTTCATTTAAGGTTGGTGTGTAGCAACATGATTGGTCCCACGGCCTGTAAACTATGAGGACCTAAATCATGTGCACTGAGAATGATGACTAAAATATATTTGTCATAGTTGTTAGGGCATCTAGGTGATCTGGATGAAAAAGAAGCACACAGGCAACTAGTCACCTAGGCAATAAGAATTTTATAAAATAAGAAACCAAAGTTTTGGTTAGTTACCTAGTTTCATATACCAATCAGTATGCATATTAATTCTCTTTATTAAGAACATTAAATTTCCTCCCAAAACATGGAAAATCATCGTATCTAGAAGACAATAGTATTTTAACATATACTTGGGTTTGGCCTTGGCAGGGATATTCAAAATATAGGCTTTCTGGGATTCTATTGTGGAAAAATTTATTAAAAAAAAAATTAGTTAGATGGAAGAAAAACTACATTTCATTGGGAGGGAGAATTACCTTGATTAGATCCATCTTGTCTAACCTTCCTATTTATTTCCCCTCTGTTTTCAAAATTCTGAAGACAATGGCAAAGGATTTAGAGAAGATCATGAGAGATTTTTGTAGGAGAATTGGGATTCAAAGAAAGATCATTTAGTAAATTGGACTATTGTTTGTGAAAGTAAGAAAGAGGGGGGGGGGGGTCTAGGCAAGCGGTCATGGCAACTTCTTTTGGAAGAAGAAAGATTGTGGAAGCAGGTAGGGGTGTCAATTGGATTGGATTTGGTCCAATCGGATCCAGTCCAATGTGAGTCCATTATAAATGGACCAGGTCTAATCCAATCCAATGATTGTTTCGGACTAATTTGGACCGGTCCAATTCAATGTCTAGACCGTCCAATTTGTTCAAATTCATTTTGATTTAGATTGGTTTCAACCCAAACCCGGTTCATTGATACATATATTCTTATCTTATATCTATCGACCAGATATTGGCTTAGTCCAACCCAATCCAATATAAATTTGTTTCGAATGGACCAGGTCCAATCCAATCTAATAAATATTTTGGACCGGATTGGTCCGATCCAATATATCTTGTTGGTCCGTCCAATCCGTCCAAATTGATTTTGGACTGAATGGGGTCCAATCCAAAACCCTTCCATTGACACCCTTAGAAGCAGGTTATCAAGAGCATTCATGGAATGAATGGGAATGGTTGGGATGCAATGCTTAATGCAAGGGATATACTGTCAACTCTGTGGAAACCAATATCAAGTTTGCTTCCTTGTTTCCTAGCATTCATATGGCATTGTTTCTCTCTAGGGACAAAATTAAGTTTTGGAAGTTCGGTGGCGGGTGAACCTTTCAGTAAAAGATAAGTTTCCTTCTGAGGTTTCCAATGAAAGAAGTGCGGAGAAGGCCAGTCCTGCCTAAAGTGAGGGCTTTTTTTCTGGGAGGTTATTCAGTCCAAAATCAATACTTGTGAGACCTTTCAAAATAAGAGACCATATTGGTGTTTATCTTCTCATCATTGCCTTCTTTGCAAGGTGAGTTGGGAAAACTCCCTCCATCTACTGTCTTTTAATTTGTTCCTTTGTGACTGGTATTCAGGAGTGGATTTCTACCTTCATTGGGTGCAGGTGGACGCCCGCTTTGGATTTGTAATCCTTGTTCAACAACACTTTCTTAATCCACCCATAAGAAGATTAAAGATCCTATGGAGATGTTCCAGAGCTGCAGTCTTATGGGCCATTTGGGAGAAAAGGAATGGAAGATTATTCAAGGAAAAGATTCAAGACAGGTTTTGCTAATTACTGTGAGAGTGGCACACTGGGTGAAATTATTAAGTTTGTTTGTCTAATGACTGATGATGTCATTAGAAATTGGGGGCTGCTCGTAAATTCAGCCATTTCTAGGGTAACTGTTCAACCTATTTGGGATCCACCTTGACACCTTTTAATCAAGCTTAACTTTGATGGATGCAGTAGATGCAACCCTGAACCTTCTGGCATGGAAATGCGGTTAGAACATCTTGAGAGAGATCAAGATGAAGGAAAGTGCCCTTGGCACTTGGCAGTATAGACACATCTTGAGAGAGATCAATGAGCTAAAAAGAGATAGAGTTGTTTTAATCCAGTGGGTATATAGATCAGCAAATGGGATGGCAGACAGGTTAGCAAGACAAGGGGTTGAAAGAGAGAATCTGTTCTAGGGGATGGGATCCCACTTTGATGTATTGTACTTTAGGGCTAGTCTCACTTTAGTACCCAAACTTCTAAACATGCCACTGTAGTGCCTAAACTCTCAAAAACTTCCAATTTAGTCCAAAATCATTATCCAGTGCTAGATGGCATGTGTAAGGATACAGATATCCTTCGATTTTTGGATAGGCGAGAGAAGCATCGTTTCGAAAAAGTTAAATGGAAAAATGTTGACAGAGGAGACGACATCGTCGCTAGAGAAGAGGGATCTGGGTTTCAAGAGAGGGTTGAGGCATTCAGAAATAGGGTTGCTAGATGAATTGGTAGCGTTGAATGCATTATTTAAAATCCTTGATGGCGTTGAATGCTAAAATAGGATTTCCATGCCAACTCTATATGGTTTGGTTAGATTTACAAGGTTCAAAACCTGGGGGAATGACTTGGTGGAATTAATGTTTTCTGCACCTGATGGAATCATTGTGAGGTAGCTACACATTATCCTTAAATTAATGCATGTCAGGTTCTCTAATATCACAAGTCTTGTAACAATACTTTTGATGCGCATGTTTTCTTTTGGTAATTCCTTACAGGATCATCGATCACTGCCCATTTGTCTCGCAATATTTCTAACTATATCGTAACTGCATGGGAAGTTCTGATGATTAAATACTTGTTTGCTTTGTTCTCGTTGAACTTGTTCTATCAGGTATTCAATGAAATAAACTGTCGTGATATAGAGAAGATTAACGTTTTCCGTGGTATGCTTAACAACTGGATATTCATCTCCATCATGGTCTCAACAGTAACCTTCCAAATAATAATAGTGGAGTTTTTGGGCACTTTTGCAAGCACTGTACCTCTAAGTTGGCAATTATGGTTATTCAGCATATTAATTGGAGCTATAAGCCTGCCGATTGGAGTTGTCTTGAAATTGATTCCTTGCAAATCATCCATTAAGGGGAATACTACCAAGCACCATGATGGGTATGAGGAACTTCCTAGTGGTCCAGAGATGGCTTGAAAAAGGATTGAACGTCATACATGTAGTCGGCATTGAATTAGTTATTCCATTGTTGTTTTCTTGCTTCTATTCTTCTTTTCCATTTTTGCGGTAAACGGCATTGAACTAGTTTTTCTCAAGAGATTCCTTTAAGAGTAGTTTCCAGTGGGCTTGACCTTTTAATTTGTATATACAATTCTTTCATTCAATGAAATTTTGGCTGAAATCTTGTATATATAGGTATTCAAGATGAATTTGCTAGGCACTATTCTCTTTTTTTTCTTTTGTTTTTTTATGTGTTTTCTTTTAATACAAAATTAAAAAGCCATACTAATTCCATCTATTTGTCAATATGCTTTTATTTTTTATTCATTTAGAAATTTAAGTTCAGTATTTTTGTCACATTGACTTGTGTTATTAACTCCCGTTCTCTCTCATTAACCCATATATTTAAGCCATTACTTTAATATTTGGCATTTAAGTTTAAATTCAAAATCAAATTTGTTTCTTCCATTCTCTCTTATTCTCTCTCTTTCTCTCTCTCTCATCATTAATTCTTGCCTTTAAATTTCCCTGATTAACTCAATTTTTTTGGCATAAAACTACAAATAAGAAGATTTAAACCTGTATGTGGGTTCTAAATTTTAATGTTTACACATTTTTTTTTCTTAGTGCATGTCTGTCAAAAGTTAAAAAAGGATAATTGATTATTAAAACTTGTATGTTTCTAAATATTAACAATAATTATATTGATTTTATTTATTTATCGTTGTTCAATGCTTGTGTCCAAGAAGTTCACACTCCATATAAAGCATTAAGGGGTGTTAGACAACATGGTTGATTTTGTTTTTGAAAACAAAAAACAACTGCCACCAGCAAACCTGGATTCATGTAGCTGACACAATGTAATTGGGGCAATGGCTTAAGAGATGATACATGTCTATCTTAATTTTTTCAAATATTCATGCACGTCTAAAACATATTCCAATACCTCTCAAAATTACCTTTGGCAAGGTTTACAGCCCGATGCATCGGTAGCGGCGTATCGAACTGTATTGGCCCTCCTTTTTTTTTTTGTGAACCTGATTCAGAGGGATCAGTCTAAGACCCTTTTACCCCCTGAATCGGGTTAAACCCTGAAACACCCCTTGTAATGGCATATCGGGAGGTTTTTGATACAATACATATTGATTGATACGTATCGAAATTTCAAACCTTGCTATTTGATATTCCATTTATAATACTTTAAAAGCTTGCATCCAACAAAGATACAACACAATGTTGGATTGTACTTGTGCTTTCTAGAGGTTTTATTCACCATATGACAGACTGATTCCATATGCCTCTGTCGGAGCTAGGATCTGACAACTCTTGAATTGAAATAAGATACACTGGTGGGTTTAGCCATGCACAATCTGTAGCCCTATCTAAAACCCAGCAACACTTCGCAATCTGTAGCCATGCACAAGGTGACAAAAATGTAACTTATAGCATTTGAGATCTGAAGCCAGTTTTTCACACTTTAGCTTCATCAAGATTGGAGCAAATGCCACTTTTTCTCCTTACCCGTACACTTTTTGCAATTGTTGAGCCAACAGTTGCCACAAAGCCTACTGAAGTCTGAAGGGCATCTCTTTATATAGTTTTGTCTATGTACAAAAAGTATTTCAGGTAAAGCCCCAGGATGGAAATGCTTCTCTATCCTTACCACAAGCTTCTCTGCGGTCCTTACCACCATCAAGATGGCATTCTTGAGTTCTGACAGTTGGTTTCTGAAACCACTGTGGGGAGCGAGCCAGAGATGTTTCACCTATGTTTCCTCTGCACTACGGAATTAATATATCCAGCATTTTGGGATTTTTTCTGAATTGGAGAGTAGAGAACTTGGGTATCTTTCACTAGTGCATTTTGGCTGATGCAAATTCAAATTTGGTTTAATTTTGCATTGATAAATTTATTTTTTTGCCAAAGGATTTTTAGTTGTAATTGGTGTAAACATGAATCTTGATATTGAAATATACTGTTTTAACATTGATCAATTTTGAGTAGAGGTGCCCACCGTTCCATTGTGATTTTCTGGACCGAATCAATTTGTTTGCTTTTTACATTTAGTCGAACCAAAATCAAACTGATTCAATCGGTTAAGCGCAGTTCGATTTTTCGGTTTTTTTATGTCTTCAAAATAAAAAGAAAAAAGGAACTGCAAGACAGAGAAAATGGGAGTCTGAGAGAGTGTCGCTGAAGCAGGAGGGATCGCCTCTGACGTCGGAGGGTGGAGCATCTAAGGCCGTCGACATCGGTCCCCGTTGGGGAAGAAAGAAGAGAACTGGGAGACTGGGAGTCTGAAAGAATGAGAATCCGAAAGAGAGAGATCAGATAGAGAGAGAAAAAAGTGTCAGTGTTGTGAAAACAGGAAAGATCGCCATTCGCTAGTGTCGCCGAAGCAGGAGGGATCGCCGGAGGCCGTCGATGATTTGGTGTTAAATCATCAGCAAAGGGACTCAAATTAAGATGGAAAGTGAGATGTTACGGCTACCTCTTCAAGCTTTGGTGTTGGCATTTGGGCCTTGTTTAAGGAAATTATTAATGTAGTAGGGTGTTTTAGTGGGTTGGGCAAATGCCCCCTTCGAGTTTCCTTCCTAAATCGATCATAGTTGAAGTGGGGGTGTCCTATTCGCTATTAGAATCGTAGTTGAGGCCTGAGGGTCCCGAATCCATTGATGCAAGGAGGCGATATAGATTTAGGATGGTTGAAGTGGAGTCGGAGCAAGTTGCGCTAGAAATTGTCGAGGTTGCGATTGAACCAGTATTTGTGGTTCATATAAGCTTATTTGGAGCAGGCACTGAATTTGCATTGAACCAGAGTGCATATAAGTTCTCTAGAACCGGTGATGGTTATTTGGAGAAATGATTTTGCGGTTCATATAAGATTATTTTGGCTTTTTACTGAACACATTGTGCGGCATTTCAGGTTTCTTTACTTATGTAACACTATAAACCATTGCATGAAAGACCTCCCAAATAGACACTCAATTAAGCTAGTTCAGCTTCTTAGAGTCACTTTGGATAAGCTATCAAATCACTTTTGCTACGATACTAACGCAATGTTAGAACCGAAAATCATGGCCTTACATGTAACATGTCAAAGGTTTTGATTTCTTTGTTTGAACGCAGTGCTGCGACAATGTCATGGCAAAAATGTTGTTTGTATGTAAGGTGCCTGAAGTGGATAACTCAAAACATGACTGGCTAACAATGGGTTTTGGCTCTCTCAAATGGGTACCCTCTCTATCAAATTGGGATCTGTTCCTCACAGTCACATTGGGAACATCTCCCATAAATAATAATATAGAATTATACTGTGAGGTTGGTGTACTCCTCACGGAGTGCTCCAAACACCAACCTCACAACACATCCCTATTGTACATTGGCAATATCTTCTGAATTTGTGTGTTATTATTCATGAAAGATGTTTCCAATATACAGTTGGATGTGCCTGTGAGGTTGGTGTGAGATGCAGTGAAGAGTAAATCCCAATTGAATTCATGTAAATTTATTTTCAACTTTTTCATTTTTTCTTACTAAAAATGATGTCACAACATTCTGGCCCCTGGTTTCTCAACTCATATAACACAAATAGGCCTGTTAGTGATACCTGAAAATCTGAGGCATAATCAACCTTCAATTTAATTATCTCGTATTAGGATAATGTATTTATGTAATTAGATAGGATTCAGATTTTACAATTTGCATCCAATTAATATGTAGATCGAATTTGGATTTGACCCCATTCCATTCCATTAAAATCTGAATCTGACTATATTATACTATTTATTGATTTTAATATATTAATTTTATATAATTATATTTAAAATTATAAAAATATTATATATATATATTATATTATATATGAATTTATGTATATAATAAATTTAACATATTACATTTACATTAATTTATTATATATGAAAATTGAAAATTAATTAACTTTTTTATTTTTTTGTATTTTAAAATTTAAAGTTAAATTTGATTAAATCAGAATCCATTAAAACTCGAATATGAGATATTCTTTTTAATAATTGGATCGGATTCGTTTTTAGGAACCCTATCTGAATCCGAACAAATTATAGTCACTGCATGAAAGCCCTCCCAAACATGCAACGAGTTAAGCTGGTTCTGCAGCTTCTGTTGCTTTGAGGTGCTTGATATCTTAGGACTAAGGAGGCTGAGGTGGACGGATCAAAAAATTGATTAACAGCCGCGGTTTTGACACTCCGGATTTTTCACCAGGCTTTCCGTGTAAGGCCCACCTCGGAAAGCCATAAGCCCCTGCGCTTTCACTTCAGCCCCTCCTAAACGGGCGCCCGCTCTATCTCCCTCAAGATTCGATTGGTAAGGTCATGTGGTCTGATTTGATCCAGACTTCTAGATCCGACCTGTAATGTGGATATTTGATCCGCATATTTCATCTTATTGACTCCATTTTTAGCCGGCATAGGGGAGAGAGAGAGAGAGAGAGATGTCTCTGGTTGATTACGCTTCATCTTCAGAAGACGAGGGAGAAGCCGGAGAACAAGGAGGAGAAGATAATGAAAAGGGCAGCCCTCCGTCTTCGGTTCCAGAGTCTCATAGCCAGTAATCCTCTTTTTTCTTCCTCGCAATTTCTCTTCTTAACTTCTAATTCAATTTGCAAAGCGAAGAAGAAAACCAGGATTCTGTTTTTTTCCCTTTCTTTAGGGTTTGCTCTTTGTTTAATTTGCAAAACCCTCCTGTGATATTTGTGTACTATGCTTCTCGTAACTTGGTATGGCAAATAATTACTTTGTTTACTTAAGCATTTTTTTTTCTTTTTTTTTTTTCCTGCTCAAGCTTCGATTGTTGCCTTTTTTTTTTTCTTCATACATTTTGTATGGATTAAAATGTGCCTTGGATAAATTCGCTAAGACTCCATGTAATCGGTAACTGGATTGCTTAATGTTTCTGAAAGTCGGGAGGAATTGGAAGGATTAGAAGCGAATATTGAGTTTCAATTATGTGGGGCTGTTGGAGTTAGGACTTTCTGCTTAACAAATAGTGCCAGTGAAGAAGAATAGGTAACTGGGAACATTATATGAATCAGTCTCTGATGGTTGTGTTATAAGTAGTTCTGGGGATTACATATTAAACTAGAAAAGGGGAATTCCAAGGACTATATCAGTAATACTGTAAGAAAAGAAGATAATATTTGGTTTGAAAAGTATTTGGTTTAGTGTGGAGTTCAGAGCTTTCCACTTCTAAGAAGTACCACCCAACTACATAACGGAGAAACGACTCTCCAACCAGCCAGTTGTTGTGGCTGTACAAAAATCACTATCTTCAGTTAGAGAGCACTGCGTTACTGCACCATGCTGTTGAGGTAGGTGTACTACTTGGAGCACTATCCTGCTGCATTTTCAAGAAAAATGTGTAAAAAATTCTTTGAAACGAATAAAGTTTCTGCTTGCATTCTAGGATGATTTATATATTTCCAGGAAAATACAGGTCAATAATACTGTCTTTCAGAACAATCACAATTTAGTTTCTGAAAGAACTTCATATGAGAAACCAATAAGTAAAGAAATTCATATCAGATGCTGGATTCTTAGTGCCTAGAACCACCTAATTAGGCCTGGTCTCATTCTTGAGCAAGAGGTCCGTGAAAAGCAACATTAACTTCATGTTCCATTTAAAATGTAATGCAGAACCTTGATGTTCAATTCTCTCTCTCTCTCTCTCCTTTGATAGACAGTATCAACTTTCACAGCAGTAGTCAAATAAGTCACAAGATGGGGAGCCACTAAAATTCCAAGGGTTTTTCCTCTATTAATACCCCTATAAATATAGTTAAAAAATTTCTTTACCAAAAAAGTAAATAAATAAATAAAAAGAAGAGAAAAATTACTTAAGAAACCTTTTGCATGCTTTTTTATATATGGCAGGATATGATTGAATATCTGTTGACAAAGCTTAGGTAAAGAAGAACAAATTTCCCAATATTATTGTGTCTACAAAATGTATAATACATATTGTGTGAGGACGACCCTTTTTTCAGGTCCTTCTTTTTGGACAATACAGGGGACCTTTTATTAATACAATCATATTATACTCTTTCTTAAAAAAAATGCATATGGTGATTAGGGGTGGATTCAAACTGAGCTGAGCCGAATACTCGGCTCGCAGGAATAGTATCAGGCTTGAGCTCGATTTGAGCTAGAGACTTGAGCTCAAGCTCGGCTCGGTTCATAGCTCGCAAGTTCGAGCTTGGCACGGCTCGAGCTCGACTATAAGCCAAGTTTTTTTTTTTTTGAAAAGTAAAAATTACATGCAAGGTTCAAAGTATCGGTACGCCCCTGTGTATCAGTAGGGGCGTATCAATACTAAAAATCAAGCGCTCAATGTTTTTTCTTAGTTTTGTTTTCAAATTTTGATTTTTAGAGATGTTTTTTAAGTGCTTTTTTATTGAAATAAATGGGGGCCCCGAAACACTTGTAAATAGGTGTATTGGGACCAAAAGATACGATACAATGTGCCCGATATGGGGCATATCGTATTGATACTTTGAACCTTGATTATATGTATATTTTTTTATATATATATATATAAATGATTTATTTAATAGTTAATACTATGCTTGCGAGCCTCATGAGCCGAGCTTCATTGGGCTTGAGCTCAGCTCGATTAGCAAACGAGCCTATATATTGGGCTCGATTTTGGCTCAAAGCTTGGTTTAAACTGAGCCGAGCCAAGCTCGAATAGCTCATGAAAGGCTCGGCTCGTGGCCACCCCTAATGGTGATACAAGTGTACATAAGCCCTTCACTCATAGGGAAAATTTCAGCCCCAAGCATTTTCCATATTTCAATAATAAGCCCTTCTTTTGAAGCTTAAATGGCTAATATTTGTTCAATAACTGCAAATAAAAGGTGTGATTTAGGGCCGATGTGGGCTAGAGAATTGAACATGTAGCCAGCCCAGATGGTGGGAGAGATTCCCTAATATTATAAGTACAAAATCAGGTATGCCACTTTTCATGATATGTACAAAATTTAGCCTCTTTCTACAAAATGAATTAAACCACAAAATTGTTGCTCTTCAATATTTGTTGGCCAATCCAAAGATTTCCTAGTTGGGTGAAGTAGGGTGTTTCCCTACATAACACATCCTGTTTCTGTCATGTGGAAAGGTGATGTGGCAAATTCAAACTATTTATTTGGACCCTCAGATTGGACAGTTATCATTCCTCTGGGTCTAGGCCTTAGGCCAAATGCTTCACCTTATATTTGTGGTTTCCTCAAATAATTTTACCTATTTGAGGATGTACAAACAGAACAAACAAGACAGCCCTAGTAAGAGATACCCCACTTAAGGGGGCAAAGTGTTTGCACTATACAAAAGGTTCTATCCACCCCAGATTTAGCCAAATGATCTGCAATTGAGTCAGCTCCCTTGGAATCCATCTAAATTCTCCAAACAGAGAAGAAGAAACTTCAGAAATCTCATTGAGAAAGTGGCCCAGTCTCCAAGCTTATTGATATTTCATCATAAGCTTTGGAAGAATTGGAGGTCCCCAGTTTCATGCATTGAAAACCATGGCTTTCATTTTTTACACTCAAAATTTGAGGTGTAGTTTCATTATGTACACTAAAATAAAGGCCTTAATGCTTCACTGAACTTTTTTCTATTTGCAGGGGATTGACATCCTCATCTACTGAGAAGCCAGATAATGCTTTACATGCATCTACACCTTCAATTGAGAAGCTTCCAGATGCTTCACTCCTTCTTAGTTCACCTACTTTCTCATCTCATCAAATAGGTGGCAGTGACCATTCCTCTAGGGTTGCTGCTGCTATGGCACAAAGTGCATCAAGGAAGAGAGAATCAAATGGACCAACTTCCTCTTATCCCCGGAGTAAAATTCCTAGAGGGAACTTACCTCATTCAAGAAGTGTGCCAGATACCATAGGTGGCCTTCTACGCCCACCTCAGCTTAATGGAAGGTTAATTTTTACTTGTATGAGTTCCTTGAAATGGATTTGGCCAGATTTTACTACCTATAGTCAAATTTCTTATCTTATTCAGTTAATCAGTTTGATAATTTTGCACCATAAAAGATGAAAGATAATGTAAAATAGAGAGTAAAAGGCATAGAGGTAGGTAGCTGGGCCAGCTCTTTACAATGAGATGATTTTGGCTTTTTTCTTTGATCATACCGTAAATTCTTTCCATATATTAATAAAGCAAGTTTTCAGTTGGTGATAAAAAAAGTGTTGCACCACAAAAGTAAAAATGGAATTTAAATAGGTGATACATTAGTTGAAAGGGTAGTGATTATACAATAGTGTTCACACACAAATTCTGTTGGAATATAAAAGGGATGAGCCAGGGAGATACTCTGGGCCAAATGTATCCAGATTTTTTTGATGAAAAAAACTGTAGGCAAATAGGTGGTTTTGGGGGGTTGCTAAATGTGCTTTCTCAGCCTGTTAGGCACATTCTGGGTATCTAAAAATGCTAGAAGGGTGATTTGTAACATTCTCAACTTGTTTTAACTAGTTGGCTCATTATATTAAAATAAATACGATCAATTGAATATTTATTAAAAACTCTGAACTCTCATATTTTCTGCATCTATTTCTGTTTTATGTTTGATTGTTTTTTTTCCTTTTTGGATTTTTTATTCTCTAAAATCTAATGTAAGATCATATAAACAGACTATGAGGGTCTGTTTGGTCCACAGTCGGATTTGGAATCAAAATCCCTTGGAATCAGAATTGGAATGGTCTATTTCCCATAATCTGTTTGGTTCACACAAGAATTGGAATCAGAATTGGAATAAGCTGGAATGGGATTTCATTCCCAAGGGAGAGGGAGGGTATGGCCATTCCGATTCCAGTTCCAGACCCCTATTCCAGCGAACCAAATGGGCTCTGAATGTTTTAATTGAAGAAAAATTATGTGAGAACCAAATGCACTTGCAAAAGGTGCATGCCTGGTGCACCTTGCACTTCAGTCCAGGCATATGCCTTAGAGTAGGACTCCCTTTTTTGCCGATGTTGTTGAGTTGTTCATTCATCTTCTTAATACAAGCCATTTTACTTTTTTGACATGAAATCATGAAAATCAACAGCACACCAAGCCTTTTATTTTATGTCAGCAAACATTTGATATCATAACATTATCCCTGTATCTTACCATTTAGCGTGTATTATATTAAATCAATACCACACGGAGGCTTTTATTTTATGTCTGTAAACCTTTGATATTGAAACATGATCCCAGTATCTTAGATTACCATGTGTTTTGATGGTTTGACATATTTTTTGGTTAAAATGGTTGACCTTGGCTGCCTGGAGAACTCTTCAGATTTACTAGAATAAAAAAAGAGCATTTTCCCCATGCACTCGAAGTACCACCTAGGATATCCATATTTGGTTTTAAGTTTTAACTTGGGATAGGATAAGGACCTTTTTTTTTCTCATTGTCATAAAATGTCACCCACAATCACCCAGTTAAGCAATGAATTCTAACCCTTTCTCTTGTGTATTTTGCCAATTTGTTTTCATAAAGAATCTCTGACACAGAAAATCGGGCGGTATTTATTTTGTTTGCATTGCATATCGTCTGATTGTGAGAGCCTATGTCATTTTACCTAAACCAGTTATTGGATGCAGTTGTTGGTGATCATCTGCATGATCAATGTCAAAATCATCGATTGAAGAAAATATATTCTGTGATTAACTGGTCCTAGTTTAGTCTTCATACAACAAAATATCCCATCAACAAAGTATAGACAGATACCTAGAAGAAATTCTTTTCAAAGTTAATTGAGGTGTCTTTTGTGTTCATGGGTTTCTAGTTCTTCCATACGTCATTTTGATATTGACTTGTTGCCAGGCTGTCTAGGTAATCTTTTTTATGCATCAATCAGATCACCTTTATCCTCTGGAGGGGATATTCAATGTCTGATGATGTTGGTTGGTTTTTTTTTTTAGCAGGAGCAACATTGTAACTGAAGATATCAGCAAGTTATTTGTAAAAAGACGGTCTGAACCTGCCTCTCACTAGATCTCCATAATCCAGATGCAAGGGCATTTTCTGAGTTGTGATATTTAATGTATCATTTGTTGGTAAAACTTGACAAACATGTTACTAGTTGAAGGGTTTAGCATATGTACAATGCATGAAATATTTCATCCTTTTGTGGCAGCTCATTCAACCTTAGTAAACTGATTTGTTTTGGGAGTCTTTGGCGGTGGAATAGAAGTGAAAATGCTCCCATCTTGCCTCTGGTATCTTTCCATACAGAGCTAGTAGAGACTGTTATGCAAAATATGCAGATACAAGCTTTTGGATTTTATTCTGGTGGTGACATTGTTTTAAAAATAACAATAAATACAACCAAGAGCTAGCCCGTTTGGGAGGGCTTCCAGGCAGCATAGCTTCTAAAGCCTGCGGTGTAAGGCCTCGCATGCTTGAACAGGTGTGCTGTCACTTTTTTTTTTTGGAAGAAAAACTAAGGGTATTGGCTCAGTTTGGAGGAGTACAAGTACAAATTTGTGGAGTGCAAAACCTTGTATTTTGTATGTATTTGCACAGTACATATTTGTTTTTGTACTCCTACCAAATTTGTAGAGTGCAAAACCTTGCATATGCTAGGGTTTTCTCTCTTTTGTTGTAGGTATATTTGTAATGGATGCTTTTTGAGAACAGTGAAGGACAGGTGATGTGGTGCACTGCTTAAATCTTTTTAATTGTTTTAGAAGTACGATTTTAAAAACCAGGAAGGACTTAAGGAACTTTATTGAGCCACCAACTTCCTTTCCTAGATCTTCTGGTTTATGACATTGATTTAAATTAAAAATTTGTAACACTAATATACCAAAACAACATACTAGCTCAATGCATAAGTTCGTATATGAATCCCAACTGATAATGCTCTAGGATTTTCCTTTTTTTTTGGGTCTATTAGACTTTTCTGGTCCATTGATCATCACCAGGGCGGCAAAAAAGAAGGAAGCATTTGCTGGCGGCACCCAAGAACAAAATCAAACAACGTGAATCGATTGGGGGACAGGAGAGAACACATTGGCCAACCTGTTTTTCCAGTGTGTAAGAGGTGGTAACTGAATGGTCTCCATGGTGTCGGAATTCAACAGAAAACAGTTGCTTCTGTTACCCTTCTCTGACATAACCAGCCATTGACGATGAGATGCTCGGCAGAATTTTCGTCGCATCTGAGGGATGTTCTTGACATACTTGCAATTGGGTCGTGATGGGTTGAAAAAGGTGGTTCTTTTGCCCTTCTCGTGAGAAAAAACAAGCCAGGGAGTTGGTGAAGGAAGCCCATCGTCTCTGTTATCGACCATCGCCTTCATGCCCAAAATTGATTTCAGTGTTAATTAGCTGGTGGAAGTCTGCGTCCTCTACGTACGTAAAGATCTGATCAGTACAATTAAGCTAGGTAATTAAAGAAAACATCACTAGCTAGTAATGAAAGCCAAAACTTAGATGATCGAATATATTTAGATTTACAGGGTAACCGATTTTCTACATGTGGCTGGCCAGTCGTGGTTTCTTGAATCTTGGCAATCGTTGCCCCCACCCCCCCTTCAAGTTGGAGGCTCCAACTTGGAAAGTAATGAAGTAAACAGGTCATGGCCAACAGCTTTAGTGAAGGTATCTGAAGGCTGAAGGGCGCTAGATATGTGAGAGGTGATAATTTTGCCACAATGGATGTTCTCACGAATAAAGTGACAATCAATTTCTATGTTTTGTTCTTTTATGAAATATTGGATATGCAGCAAAACAGACGCATAGGGGCTGGTAAAGATGCATTGAGATCAACGAGGAGATGCTTCAACCATGAGTTTAGATGTAGCCGTTTCCATGGCGCGATATTCAGCTTCGGCAGAGGATCGGGAGACTGTGTGTTGTTTCTTAGTTTTTCAAAATAATGGAGAATCACCAAGAAGCATTAGATAACCAGTTGTAGAGCGTCTTGTTATTGGGCAATTGGCCCAATCTAAATCACAGTAAGTGTCAAGTTGAAAAGATGATTGAGCAGAAAAAAAGTCCTCAAGAAATTGTGCCCTTGAGGTACCGGACAACTTTGAGAGAAGCATCAAAATGTTTGTCATGGGGCTCATGCATGAATTGACTAAGGCAATTGATTGTGAAGCTGAGATTAGGGCGCGCGACAGTCAGATACACCAATCGGCCCACTAATCTGCGGTGCTGAGTTGGGTCAGAGCAGTTGGGACTATTTGGATCAACAAAGTGTTTTTGTTGTTCCATAGGTGTGAGGCATGGAGTGTAGTCTAGCATGTATGTATCACGAAGAAGATCCATAATGTATTTTTGCTGGCTAAGGTATATCCCATCTTGGGTGCGTGAAACTTCAAGTCCCAAACAAAAATTTAAGGACCCGAGATCTTTGATGCCGAACTTGTCATTGATGTATGTTTTGAGGGAGGTTATCATCTATGGATCATTGCCAGTAATGATGACATCATCAACATAGACCAAAACAACCGTCTAAGAAGCATCATTTGAGATGGTAAAAAGGGAGTAATCTGTGGCTGATTGTGTAAAACCAATGGATGTGAGGGAATGTCTGAATTTTGCAAACCACATGTGGGATGATTGTTTTAGGTCATAGAGGGACTTTTGAAGTTTGCAAAATCTTATGTCGCCTTCTTTAGCAAAGCCTTGAGGAATGGACATATAGACTTCTTCATTAAGATCACCATGTAACAAGGCATTTTTTACATCTAGTTGATGAAAGGCCCAACCACGAATTGCCGCCATGACAAGAAGACAACGAATAATAGATAATTTTTCTACTGGAGCAAAGGTGTTGTGGTAGTCAAGACCTTCAATTTGTGTATAACCTTTTGCGACAAGCTGGGATTTGAACCGTTCAATGATTCCATCAGCTTTGTACTTGATACAATATACCCATTTGTTGCCAATGGCATGCTTGCCGGGTGGCAAATCAACAATGGTCCAAGTATCATTCTTTTCTAATGCTTCAATTTCAGCTGCCATGACTTGGCACTATCTAGGATCATGAGCAACTTGATGGTAGGTGGTTAGTTCAGTCTCAAGGGATGCAACATTGGATCTAGATATGGATGGTGGGAGATCACACATGTACTCATTTAGCCATGCTAGTAGCATGGTAGTTCGATGAGGTCAAGTAGTGGAAAGGGTTGGGTTAGTGGAACTAGTGGTGGTGTCAATGGTGTGAGTGGTTTGTGATATTGGGTTCAAGTTATTAGTAATAATGGGTTCAATGAAAATGGGCTCAGTAGGTGTGGGCTGGGAAGGCTCAGTAGGTGTGGGCTGAAGAGACTCAATAGGGCTTTGCATAGGTGTAGTGGGTTGAGTGGTAGTGGACTCACAAGTTTCCCCAGGATAATCTACAACTTAATTAGGTGATATAATTGGCAATACTTGAGTAGTATTTTGTTCAGCCATTTGGAATGGAAAACAGGTTTCATAGAATATGACATCACAAGAAGTAAATATGCGGTGATTATCAAGATCATACACACGATATCCTTTTTGTGCATGTGGATATCCTACAAAGACACATTTTGTGGCTAAGGCAGCAAATTTATTTGAAGGTTGAGGGTGTATTTGTGAGTAACAAAGACAAACAAAGACTTGCATGTTTTTATATGAAGGTTGGCGGTGAAACAAAGCTTCATAAGGAGAAATGACGGATAGGACCTTAGTGGTTAAAAGATTGATTATATATGTAGCAGTGTTTGCATTCTACTACGTCATTCTATTGAGGGGTGCCAATGCGAGAGGTTTGATGAATTATTCCTTGAGAAGTGAAAAATTGTTGAACAGGCTTTGAGGTAAATTTAGAGCCATTGTTCGATCGAATTTGTTGTACCTGACAATTAAATTGGCAATGCACCATATGGCAAAAAGCTACAAGCAAAGAACCTGCCTTCGACTTATTTTTCATGAGATAGGCCCAAGTGCAATGGGTGTGATCATCTACAATGGTTAAAAAGTAATGTGCACCAGAATGTGAGAGGGTCATATACCCACTCCAAATGTCACAGTGAATCAAAGAAAATGGAAAATTACTACGTGAACTACTAATTGGAAAGGGCAACTGTGTTATCTTGGCTCAGTGACAAGCATCACAACAATGTGAGGGCGCAACAATGGGAATTCTAGAAATGTAGGAGAGACAGTGATGGGAGGAATGCCCTAGCTGCATATGCCAGAGAACTGAGTCATCAGCTAAAGAGACTTTGTTGGAAAAGGCCAGAGGGGTAATTGTCGAAGAAGCAAGTTGAAACCGGAGATGGTAGAGTCCTCTATGGAGCTCACCCATGCCAATTACTATCTTGGAGTGAGGGTCCTGAAGGACACAGAATGTGGGGAAAAAATATAACAACACAATTAAGTTGGCAAGTAATTTGACTAACTGAAAGCAAATTGCATTCGAATGATGGAATGTGCAGAACATGGTCAAGTGTATGGTTGCCAACAGTTATAGTCCCGCAATGAGTTGCTTGGGATATATCACCATTAGGTAAATGAATGGGTTTTGTTGCAGCCAATTGTTGTTGTTCAGAAAAGAGGAAAGTGGAAGAAATCATATGATTGGTGGCACCTGTGTCAATGATCCATTCAATGGAATTGGTATGCTTACCAAAGGATGTGGCGGCAACGGATTTTGTAGGGTCCTTGTTTAGTAGTAACAAAAGGTGAGAATATTGTTGCATATTGAGGCCAGCAATCGGTTATGGTGCATCAACTGTGACAGAGGCAGCATAAGAAGCAGGCTTGTCCGATCTTGGAGATGATTTGTTAGTCTTTCGCCGATTCTTGTCCTATTTGGCAGGGTCCATTCAACTCGTAGCATTGATCACGAGTGTAGAGTGTTTTTCTTTAAAGGGATTCACGATTTTTTGTGGTTGGCATCTTTCTTTTTTCTGCATGGTTTGTTACTTCCATTGCTGGGTCTAGGGTGTGCTTTGTCAGGGGTGTTGGATTTTAATCTCATAAGAGATTAAATCCAATGGGTTTGATTGGTCAATTACATGAGAAGTTGCACCTGCACACTTGATTGAAAAATCAGTTTTTTCTCTTACAAAAACCCAGTTTTGAACTTGTCCCACATTGGAAAATTATAAGTTTTGTTTTCAGTATTTCAATAGAAGCTGATTTACACTCCTTAGAATTAGTAGAGGAGAGTATGGGGATTCGATACCGCGCAACACGCGCGCACGCGTGTGTGCGGCGCAATGAGGCGCTTTAGAGGCACACTTT